TTCTCTCCGCAGAGAATTAGGCGGGGATGTCACACTTATCACCGTCGCCCACCGACTGCAGACAATAATGGACGCTGATAAAATTGTCAGTCCTCTTTGTTTTGTTTTTTACCGTCAGAATTCTCATTTTATGTCTTCAGATGGTCCTGGATGCTGGACAAATTGTATGTGCTCCAATCACTTATAGACATTACTGATGTTGCTTTTCAGGTCGAGTTCGGTAGCCCCAAGGAGTTGCTCCAGGTCGCTGATGGGAAACTGAAAGCTCTCGTCGACGAATCAGGAGATAAAGATACGTTGTATGCGATGGCGGAGCAAAGATAGACGGGGAACTAGCAGCAGATATATGAAGTTTGAATAGATTTATGAAGAGCAATTACCAAGCGGTGATTCTCTTTGTTCTTATTTCCTCGTTCGGCACTCGTCAGGGCTAGGAAGCATCTCTACTCATCTATGCATACCAAAAGCCGAACGGTGAATGCCACGGTGTGCCACACCTATTTGGGACAAGGACGACATCTAATTCGTCAAGATTTTTCTTATTCTTTGGGATAGAACCAATGCTGTAATATACATTAGAAAGACAAAATTGAGCACTGCATTCAAAACTGATAACCAATTTACTGAACAACTAACAGTACAAACTGGCAGCAGGAGCCAGGTCAATACGCACGGCATCAGGGACAAGTCCACGATTTTTAACCTTTTCAATGCCTTCTGTAACCGGGGTTAGGCTCCAGACCGTTACGAGGGGGATTGTAGTCTCGCTGAGGAGGGCCGGAGCGTGGGGGAGCACCGACTGGGTGAGGTGCGCCGGGCGCTGCGCCAGGATAGTTATTGCCATAAGGCGCTCCGGCTGGGTAAGGGTGATCATAAGTGCGTGGGGGGCTTTCCGAGCGACGCCTGACAACGCTTCCTTAATCACAAAGAACGATTGTATCGTCGATGAACTCACTTAAACCTTCCATGTGCGGCTTGTTCTAAAGGAACCCCGCGATACTCGTCATATCGAGCTTGAGGAGGCGGGCTAGGGGGCCGACCTCGATAATCAAACTCCCTGTACATCTCTTAAGCCTTGGATTGGTTGTATCGTCTTGTATTCTCACCTATTCGGAGGCATTCTGTCGAAATCATCTCTGTATCTCGGCGGGGTTCTTGGCCGGCCGCTTGCAGGAGGGATATACCCAGGAGGGAATCGTTCACCACCAGGCCTTCGCTCGTATCGGTCATAGAAAGGAGGTGGAGGCAAAGGAGGACCACCATAGCCGCGGTAGTTTGCATCAGGAGGCGGAGGGTAGCGGCCTCTGTAGTCGGCAGGGGGGGGAGGGTACCTCTCCCTATCAGGCATAGGAGGTCCCCGCCTATAGTCATCGAACTCGCGACTACGAACTCCAGGAGGTGGCGCAGGATAGTCACGGTACTCCCTGGGAGAAAGAGGCCGACGCAAGTCGCGAGGTGGCGGGTAGTCATAGCGGACGTCGCGGGTCGAAGGGCGCCCTGTCATGTCTTCGCGCGGAGGCATATTCCTGTTGGGTACAAGTGGGTAGTCGGGCTGAATGCGATCTATCAATGAAGAATCATACGGGCGTCTTGGAGTTACCCTTTGATTGCGAAGATGAGTATGGATATGGGTAACGTGAGAAGGCATACTTACACGCCAGTGTGGTTGGGGCACTCTCTGCGGAAAGCGCAAGAGTCGTGAGGTTTCATCAAGGTTCGAATATGCAACGACGGACCTTGCCCAGTGACCCATTTGGCCGCACTTAAAGCACGCTCCTGGATCGCCAGCGTACTTGGCAGTGCGACCACCACCCCTGGACAGTTCAACGCGGATTTTGCTTCCCATGAAGTAGCCTTCATGATACTTTGCAACACTTTCTTCAGCTGCCTCTCGGGTATCGAATTCCTAGAAGCGTATGAGAACCGAGAGGTACCAAGGGCAAAGAATAGCGTACAACAAAGCCATAGCCGACTCTGTAGGGGAAATGTTAACGGGGAACCGTTACGATCAAGCAAGACACCCACTTCAATTCAATATTCACAATGTTGCCGATTTTGCCGAAGCAGCTTTGAAGGTCCTCTTGTTGTGTGTGTTCTGGTAGGCCACCAATATAGACTTTGTTCGGCTGGACAGCAGAAGGTAAACACCCAGTCGAGAATACACACACAAGGAAACGGCAGAAGAAGTTGTATATTAGCCCCGAGCCATAGCAAGCCTCCGAAAGCACGAAAGCGACAGAGAAAATCCGAAGCAACCAAGCTAAGAATGATTAATGCGCTAACCCAGCGTCGAATACCACACGTGGTAATGAGCGAGACAGGGCAAAACGTCGCGGAAGACATGAAGAGACAAGAAGAGACCTAAGCACCTTGACTTGCTTCTCGCGAAAGGAAGGTTCTTTTCCTTCGGTTGCACTGACTGCACTGGCGCTCGATCCGCGAGGATAATCTGGGTTTTCGTGGCCTTGAGCACGGTCATCGTCAGCGGGTAACGGCGCTCCGTTCGGAGGTTCGACGCCGCCGCCTGGGCCCATAGGCTGGTCATCTTGCGGCCCCCAGTTATCCTGCTGGTGCGTGGATTGCTCGACATCGTTGGTGGAAGGAGCCATGGTGAGATGGGCGTTCACACTGAAGAGCTATTCTGTAATGTTCAACAAACATTGAATTGAGACAAGCCAAATCATTTTTTCAAGCTCCGCCGTGGGGGTCCGTGCATTCATAGTCAATGGCACAGAGTCGTTTTCAAGTTGTATTAAAAGAGCGTAGCAGCGGTGCTGGTGGAACACCTAGAGTCCAAACTGTACGGTAATAGATAGATGGTACATAGTACTGCATAGAAAAGTCTGCCTTGGTCTAGCCGTCCCAGGGTATGTCATCGTTCGTAGCACTTTGGGCACTTAAGCAAGAGTCCATACAGCGCTGGCGATGCTGACAAGGGTCACGGCAGTCATCCCCAAAAGTGCGTTGCTATCCCCTATGAGCCTGATAGCACCGTTACTGCCTTTGGTGGTAGACGTTGAAGCGCCAGTGTTCGTACCACCCACAGTGCTCGCAGGAGCCGATGGAATAAATGTCGCGCTGGGGTTGGCAATGCAAGAGCTCGCAGCAGCATTGGCACTAGCGACGCTAGAAGGGGCTGAGGGGTTGATAGTGCCATTGCCAGCGAAGCTACACGATTGTGGGTTGCGATTGCTGAGCTGATAGAAATCGCTCATGACGTAGGAGAGCTTGATGGCTATTTCAGGTGTCAGTACCGTGTCAGTACCGTAAGTAAAAAGTAGGGCGATCGAGCACTTACTCGGGTCGCAACCTGAGATGGGACCGTAGACACCAGTCTGTCCATTTCCAGCGATGTCGTCGCAAGTGCCACCCTGTTGCCCAACAAAGCTGCAAGCAGTATCCAACAATTCTCCAACGATGGCGGAGTAGTTGCTCGTAGCAGGTGTGAATACACAGCTGAGAGTGCTCTCTAAACAATCACAAGCGGCTTCATTGGGGGTAGGGGGTAGAGTAGTGGATGCAACAAAAGTGCTGTTGGCGGTGGGACAGCTAGGGTAAGCGGTTGTAGCGGCACCCTGTGCTGGAGAGTTTGGTGGAGAGACCTGGTTATACTGAATTTGAAGTTGGTTAAAATCGTCGCTCGTGGTCACAGTCGTGCCATCCGCCGAGATAGTCACCATGCCATACTGACCATCTACGCTTGACGCAGGGAAGTACGAGAAGGCGACGCCACCTGACCAGACTGGCGACATCTCAGAGCTGAAGATAGCAGCACTTTCAGTCCAAAGACGAGGGGGAGAAGAGATGCACCCGAATTCGCTAAGATATGCAGCGACGTTGTAACCGGCGAATTCACCAAATGTCCCAGCATACGATTGCTGGAAGGTTGAGTTACCGCACCAAGAACTCCAGTGACGGTTAGTATTATATTATTTTTTAGGGTATGGAAGTACATACTAGTCATTCAGACCGAAGATGTCGATGGATGTCGAGTCGGAATTGGCTCCAGTCAGGTCACAAGAGAGATAGTTGGCGAGGGGGTCAAGGAAGGTGTCTTGACCATTGATAGCGGCATAGCCAACGAGGACGGATGATGATTGTGACTTGCTGAATATCACAGCGTCAGTTGCAGCTTGATTAGCGCTCACCGCTGTCAAGGGGGCATGGTGACTCACAGGTATGCCTTTACATCACGGGCGGCAGCTTTAACATATGGGGCGACAAAGGTCGTGTTGCTGACAACGGCCTCGTTACCAACATTGTATACCAGAACATTGTCGTATTTGCTGAACACATCGATGGTCGTGATGTATTGATCCAAAAGGTTGGTGGTCCAGGAGGGAACATTTCTGTCAATGGACCCGTTGAGAGGAAGTGAGAGATCGATACTGCCATAAACTTTGTTCAGTAAATGTAAACGATGTAAACATGAAGCAATTACATCGTGTAAATTCCAGCATTGCTGAAGGTCGACATGCATGCGTCGTGGTTGAGAGACGAGTTTACGCTGTAGACACGAATGGCATTGACGCCGAGCTTCTGCAGGTAAGGCAGGTCGCGGGCGCATGCATCAGGCAGAGCCAAGGGGTCGATGAAGCTTGAGGGTTCTCCGAAATTGTTGTCCGCGCTCTGAACGACAATGCCTACAATAGAAAATATATGAGCGATACGGAACATGCTCAAATGAAGAGCTCACCCTGTTCTTGGTATGCAATTCCTTTGATGTAGAAGCGACTTCCATCTGCATTATAGAGATATCTGCCTGAGCGAGTGACCTTGGAGATGGCCCGTACGGAACCAGTGAATGTAGTAAACGCCGCAATAAGCGCAGCGGTTTTAAAGATGGAGCGCATGTGCGGTAGGAGGGTCCAAAAACGAGGGGAGGGTATTAGGGTATTGTTACAAAAGATGTGGGAACTTGAAAAGATGCCAACGGCCAAGCAAGTCCGCAAACACGTTTTGTGTGTCTTATTATAATAAAACATAACGTTTCTAATGCAGCCCGCCTAGCTCAATCGGATAGAGCGTCAGACTCTTAGGCGGGTTTCACCTGTGTGATCTGAAGGCTGCGAGTTCGACCCTCGCGGTGGGCTAACTTCCCCTTTTTCCTTGGTATGAGAACAAGATTGTAACGAGGCAAACTGTGTCCCCCATAAGCATCTCAAGATCTCCAAACACAAACACGACTCATAGGTAGCTTCTATTGGTATTTGTGCGTATGGGTAAGTAAGTATAATACGATATATCGTCCTTTCAACGTCGTTAGATACATATTCCGCGGTATTCTTTTGTAGAGGTCGATGCCTCTGGATAGAGGTTATCCCCGCCATGTGCAACAGCTGTCAAGTTTGCTCAGATGGACAAAACAAGCCAGAGCCAATAGAAACCCACCTAATCATATACGGCACAATTGAAACCATCAAGCATGCAAATGCTGCCCAGGTCAGATACAGGCCAGATCCTACAGAAACGACGATCCCAATGGGCGCTGCATTGGCCGTGGTTCCAATTAATAGATCATTGACAGCGTCAGACTTCTTGACCATGATAGTCCATATACTGGCCCCAATTAGGAGCAGGCCACTGCCAGCGACGGAGAATATCGTTGAGAGGAAGAATGTGAAATGTGTCTTCAAGAAACCACTAGTGGGTCAGGGTTAGTCATATCTAATAGGTGGAGGAAATGAAGACTAACGTGAGCGTTGCCAAAAGAGCGCAGATTGTCCCGAGGAGCAACATCCAATAGGCGGCTTTGGTAGATTCTCCTAGATATGTTGAGGACTGGAAAGCAGTACCCTGAACAAGGGCTTGCGTGATTCTTGAGTAGTTTGCAGCCATGTCGGACGTTATTGCATCATACGGCCGATATTGCGCGCCAATAGTCATATTCCCGCAGGTTCCTTGGGAAGCGTTCAAGTAGGCACAGTATGAGTACAGGCCGAAGTCGTAAAAGTATCGTAAACCAGCATTGGCTCCAAGGGGGGCACTGGCATTTGTCGTGTATATATTTGCGAATGGGTCCGTGAACGAGAGTTCGAGGGCAGCACTGGAACAGATGAGATTAAATGACGCTTCGTACGCCGGGTGTGGCTTCACCTGTACGCGGTTACATTGACTGAAGCCTGAATGCTATATAAGCCGAGACGGTATTGCAGACGAAGAGGCAAAATTCACCATTGCTATTTTTCTAGGGACTGGCGAAGTGTTGATTTGGCCAACCTGGGATGAGAGTAAAGTACTGCATAGTCTGGATTATCGAAGCAAACGCACATGGACAAAGATCATAAGTAACATTGCGGCCAACCTGGATGTAAATTTTGATCGGTGACATTATGGACTTGAACATGTTCGAATTGAACATACGAGAGGATGGTGGCAGCAGAGACACATATTTCGCCGCGCATTTCTCGGAAAATAGACGGCGTGTAGTGGGAAAGTGCGAAAGGAAACCTGGTGCACAAGATTAACAGCCAGCTGCGTTTAAGGAGCCTCGAGGAACGACAGGACTTGTTTCGCGAACAACACGCGACGAGAACGTGTTTGCTGTAAACCACGGCAGTTGCCGATGCCTAAATTGGGCATTGCAAGTCGTAATTACAAGTGAGTCTGGGGTACTCTCATCCGCCTTTCATCTTCCCCGTCTCCCCTGCTGGTATCTTCCCGGGAATGAGCAAGTTTACCAATCTACAACCTCTATTACATTCACCGGCCGTTGCACCGGCATTCGATAGTTCACCAGAGGCTTTGGGCTTCGTGCCTGAGGCACAATCTCAATCACCTCAGAACGATGTGCCGTCCACTCCAAGCCGCGTCAAACGTCTTTCTGCAGCGGTTGAGAAATCGGTCGAGAAGACAGTTGATAAGTTAAGTCGTAGTATCACTTCAAGGAGCGGACGTACGAGTCCCACTACCCCACCCCCAACCGGGCATCGTCGCTTGTTCAGCATAACTCGAAAGGGCAAGCCCAAAGACAACTCTGGGGAACCTGAGGGTCCGTGGAAGGTCATAGCATCCCTGTTTTGACATCTGACTGACACACCGCCAGACTCACAGTCTCCCGTTTCAAGTCTGACCCCGAGTGCCTCGCGGTCCACTTCCCCGAAGCTGGCGGGCGCCTCATCCTCTGGAGTCACTCCTCGCGAGGGATTTCCTTTCTTCTCTTCATCCAAGCCCTCCTTACAAGCCGGAACGTCTAATGACGACTCTCCTTTTATAATACCGCCCGATCCGACGCCGCCCATCCGACCACCACTAAGCCCTTTCCGGGGGGATGGTTCAGTACGCTTTTTGGCATCTAAGTAGCCAAGGTCTGACGGGAAATTGGATCTAACATCAGATGCGAGCAGGAACACAGACCTTCATTCAAGCGTTGCAAGCCCTCCCGTGGACTGAAATCCAGAACGATGATGACATAGTGAGCCCGGATGCCAGTTCCAGCGATGAAGAAGAGTCACCCGGAGAGCGTCCGTCTAATTGTCACTGCACATAAATGCCTTCTAACCTTATGTTTCACTCTAGTCCGTCTGGCATCCTCCATTCACACCATTCATCGTCCCTTGGCACGATCGAGACGGCTGAGCATGCCATACACGGCCCCGACACACGCTCCCAATTCACCATATGGCCCTGTAAATGAAGAGTCTGAACCCGAACCTTCAAGTTCAGAAGAGGAGCAAGAGGTTGAAGATTTTGAAGCGACGCAAAGTCTTGCGCCTTCCTCAGAATCGATCTCTCAAGTCATTAAACGAACGGATCGACCCGGATCTCTTGCTCATTCAAGGATAAGACCTTCCCGTGCCGGTAGCATGGCTACCATCAGGCTTCAGCGGAGGGCAGGCCTGGCGGAAAAGTTGAAGGAGGTGTTTGAGCTGGACGCTATCGAAGAAGTTCGAGCAGGTTGGCCATTGTTCTTTTTTCTTTAAATGAGCACACCTGACCGATTGCTAGAAATGCCTTGTTGGCTGCTAAGGTCCATTCGTGAGTAGTAGTATTGCGTGCTAAAGTACAGATGCACTGACCTTGGTATACTAGTGTTGCAAGGTTACATGTACCTGACCAACTCGTACCTCTGTTTCTTCGCCCATATGCCATCGCGAGAGGTCAGTTCGCCTTTCGTGCACCAGCCCTGATCCTGACGCAGTCATGAAAGGATCAAGTGCTTAAATCTGGTTCACTTAATAAGAAGGCGCAAAGGACAAAACGATGGATAAAACACTGGTTTGTCCTGAAGAATGATGCCTTGTCATGGTATCAATCATCTTCCGTAGGCAGAATCTGTCTTCAGGCATCATTCACATTAACTCTCTGGTCATTATAGGACCCGTATTTCCCACATGGCATCGTTGACTTGCGATATGCCATTTCATGTGAAGCCGAGGGGGACAAGGGTTTCCGAATTCGCACGAATCAGAAGACAGTAACTTTATCCGCCGATTCTATTCCCAGCCGTGAAGAATGGGTCAAGGCAATTCGGAAGGTCATTTTTAAAGCCCAGAACATGGGAGACTCTGTTAAGGTACTTATATTGCATAGTCTCCCTCTGCTCACTGACTTAGTATTAATTAGATTGCCATCCCGTACTCCCTTATTGTTGATGTTGAGAAGTCGTCTGCGATGGATTTCAGCGAAACTATCGAGATCAAGGTATTCGACAAGGACGAAGACTCTTCCGTTGACTCTTACTTCTTTGCCTACTTCCACGACATACCCGGAGCACTCGAGGAGATCCGCGATGTTGTCCGGCATTATCGAAACCAACCTGACAGGCCAGGTTCTCCACATACAGTCCTCGATACGACGCAACCGCGACATTCCGCCATTCCGGATCGGACTACGAGTCTGCCTCCCCCCGAGACCACTACCACAAAGACCGGCTCTGTATTTCGCTTAACGTCGTTACTACGCCCCTTCCAAGACACACTCGGTCGGACGAGCCAGCCTAGTCAGCCTGAAGCATCATCACCTGAGACAGAAGATTTTACTCATGTCTCACGGCGACCAAATTCTGCGTCCTTTGTTCCAGTAACTACTTCACCGAAAACGATGGAGGTAACATTAGAGACGCGTCACGATCAACCTGGCAAACTTTTGGTCACATCGTCAAACGAACACACGTACCCACCCTCTACTTCCGCTTCACGCATTGATCCTGATCTTCCTTCCTTGAGCAGAGAGAGCAACTCCTGGGGGGTCGGCGTTCCCTCTTGGCTCAAAGGCACGCGGCGCGTGTTTGGGGGCTCAACCTCGAGTGACCACACTACATCCCCTACATCTGCGGGTGTCAGAGAGACGTACTCGTCCACGGCTATCTCACCCTCCTTCCCTCATAGTCGCTCGACAATGGGCGACTTGGCGTTCAGTATTTTGGAGACACCTGACATTCCAGTGGATGCTGAGACCACTGAAAAGTTCCGTGCTGCGTTTGCCTATGATGAGAAAGAAATTTTGCTTGGATGTATGTGCATTGACCATATCCCATGCGTCTTTAACTCAGCTGTGTATTCTTCAGACTTTCCCGGATACATTTTCAGACTCCTGCCGGTTTTCGGGAGACTTTATATTTCTACCAATTTCTTCTGTTTCAAGTCTAGCGGACCATTGACTTCTCGAACCAGGGTTCGAACCCTTTTTCAATGCTGTGAAATTTTGACTCAAGAATGGTGTTAGATGACCTTACCAATTCGCGATATACTAGCCACCGAGAAATCCAAAGCCACTCGCTTCGGCCATCATGGTCTCATCATCATCGTCAAGGGTCATGAAGAGCTCTTCTTTGAATTCAATGCTGAAGACAAGCGTGATGCCTTCATCACTCTCTTGGATCGCCAAGTTGATGATGTCAGGAGACGATTGGCACAGGGCGAGGCCACCGCTACTTCTCCAGGAAAACGACAGGCATTGATCTTGGAGGAATTTGATGCTACTGCCAGTGAATCAGATCCGGCTCCAACTTCCGATGTGATGGGAGATTCTTTACCTGCCGTAATGTTTACCTCGGCCTCATCAACGTTCTTGACGTTCAAACCGGCCAAATCATTACGCTTTACTTTCCTTACGATAGGGTCTCGCGGAGATGTTCAACCCTACATATCCT